GTTTACAGAAATTCAATTTCAAGAAAAGATATGTGCTTAGAATGCTCTGCCCCCCCAAGGTATTAGCGGCTAGCACCTTCGTCGAACCTGAACAGACTTTACTAATGTAGTGGTATAAAACAGAGTACATTAAACTAACTGATGCCGGCCCACCTCTACCAGATGTTCATCACTTGTAAAGACAAACTTGCGTGAGCTAGTTTCAGTACCAATCATCATCTGATCTATCATCATCCCTAATTCTAGCTATCATCTAACTCCATGTCAAAGAGTATTTCAGGCGTGAGAAAGGTGTTCCATCGAAGTATTGCACGAAAATGTTATCATTCATTCCATAAGACAGTACCTTCTATTGATATTTGTGTCATCATTTTGCCGTAGTTTTTTTATGATTCAAGGGAGTTAGGTGTTGTGCCCTAGACGAACTACACGTAATCCCAAGAATTGCGCTGAGACAGCACTAACTTGCAAGTCTTACGCTACGCACGCTCTCTCCAGAACCTCTGTACTTTCGCCTTGCACTTTACATCAATAAGGACTCCTTTCCCAAAGCCAAATACGTCCCCTCCTCGGTTAGGCGGCTTAAGTACGCCTTCTCTCTCGTTGAAATTCAATTACGCATGTCCTTATCGAGAGGACTTTTTCATAGCCTATGCGAGGAGTCGCACGATTAGTGCCACTAAAATGCGAGACACTGCAAGGTTGAAGAGTCCCAAGATAGTGACTTCTGAAGACCACTTCTGGAAAAGAATGGGGTGGTGGCTTCTGAAGCCTGCATGATGAGGGGTACTACCTGTGGGTCGCATGAGTAGATATTTCAGTCGACCAAAGGAAACAAATGGTCACACAAATAGCAAGCAATCTAGGCGAATATTGCTTCTTGTTTGATTTTTGAACTTCAAAAACATTTGGAGTGCTACGGCCTACAGCATTTCAAAAGGTACAACAGAGCCAGTCCATTGCGCTTCGAAGGATTCGGAAAGCGCACTGGGAAGTATGGTTGATACTGCCACAATCTGGCGGTGCCAGGGGTACGTGTGTTCAACCCACCCGCGACTGCAATTTCTATTGATAATGGCCGGTTCAGGTAGAAAACAAGTAGTGCTAGAAAACGCCACGGTGGGCTTATTCCATCCCTAGTGACAATACCCCGCCAGATTGAGACGATATCAGTAGTACACGTTGGCGCCAAATATTACTTCTCATTTGATTTTTGGGCGGAAATTTCAAAATTAGAAAGGTACAACAGAGCCAGCCCATGATGCGCTTCGAATGAGAGAACGCTGCTTTTTTGCTTACTATACAAAGAGAAGAGAAAAAAGCCGCTCACGAAATGTATTGTGGAATGTCACTTGGTCGATTGTACAGTCTGGTGATCACCAAGCATAGTTTCTGCCATTTTGTTGGTATGACACCGCTTTCTGAAACACAGTAAATGAGTTTCTTCTGACCCTACTATACCTCTCATGCTATTCCGCTAAGTTTGTCTGTTGTCTGTACTTTTCCCAAAACTAGTACCCGCATCGCCTAAATAATGGGACTTTGACTGCAAGACGCGATTCACGGCAGGGATCAGGACACAAGATGGCGATGTCCAAAATTGGATCAATCCGCCCGCAGTGAAAGCGAGAAATGATTTCGCAAAGAATTTTCTCCTCAGCGCGGACACACTTTGACGATAGCTCTCTGCTATCCACCGTCATATGCCTCCACCCCATCCACCATAATACGACCAATTACGAGCGCCCAAAGTGGAGAAAATAAATTCTCGAGGGGAATTGCGACCCCTCCCAACTGCCAGATTATGAGCCACCCCACCTGCGGTCAAACTACAGCCCTCCGTCGTGTTTTTCATAACGATGCAGCGCTTGGGCCCTGTATGGGACAGAAATATAATTATGAAGATCAAAAGTCTACAGCTGATAATGTTTGATAAGGGGCATGAGAACAGAAGCGTAGCCTAATTCGTAGCACCCATCTTCTCCGCTCTTTGATGAATAAAGCTTTTACACTGCTAAATCATAAAAGCTCAGTGAACGCTGATTTCAGACTACAGGTAGTTGTATTGATTGATAAGAACAGAAAGGAGGCAATCCTCACTACATTTCTCCAAAATATACCGCTTCTGTAGCGCCAATTTACTCCTTTTTCCACTAAGATATTGAGAGAATCAAAAACTGCCAGACCGCCTAAAGTGTCTGTTTATGCACACGATGATGGATGACGAGCGGGTGAGGTGGAGGCGGAGGGAGGTATAGTGCGAGTTGAACGTGAAAAATTAACAATTAAAATTATTCTGGAAACCAAACATGCCCCTCCTTATGCTTGAAACAAAGACCATGTGATGAGCAGATTAGTGTCCATTCGAGAGAAGGAATGGGTCAAAGGTGCAGAAAGAAAATATCCTACTGGAAGTGGGCTCCATAATGTTCCCGGGGCATGCGACAGTACAATATTTACCGCTTATTCTCAAAGGGAATTGATGGTGAAAAAGGACAGAAACGCCCTACCTGCATCCGCGCCATGGATTCTCTGTGTCTTCATTTGCTGGTCGTAAGAAATCTTTGTAGCGTAACCACCTCCCTCCTTTAATGCTGCTTGTGGTTGCTTCTTAAAAAGAAAACCAGATAATATAAAAAAATCAATGCACTAATTAATGAAAACAGTCGAGGTTATACATAAAGAAAGAATAATTGAACAGAACACGATTTACGCTCTGATCACTCTCATCTTATTCTTATCGCCCTTCTTACCTTATTCATTCAAAATGTATGGTGCTCTTTCTTGGGTCTTTTCCCTCTAGGGTTACTTAGTCCTTTGCCCGTAAGCACCAACTCTGTAGCTGGTTAGTAGCACGCGAGAAAACCGAGAAGAGTCAACAATACGGCGAGAAAACCGAGAAGAGTCAACAATCGAAAAACCTCCTTGCAAATCGGAGGATTTTTTTGAGGCAGATGTGACCCCCCCCTTCCAAAGACTGATTGCAACTCCTTCGATAGCATTTTCCCGACGATGCTGTACCAATACTCTAGACGGGTATGTCGAACGTTGGAGGCCAAGATAGAAATGGTCGTATTTGCTCGCTGGAAGGAGGGGAAGCGGTCATTACCTTCGGGAAAAATGTTTCCACTTGGTGACTATTCTTCTTGTTCCCAGCGCGCCATACACCCCGTCAGCAGCGTTTTACGGAAAAAAATGACTATTTTCGGGGATAACTTCGGAAAAATTGCAGGAAATTGGGAATAATCAAGAAGACTGTATGAGGAAACGAGATGGGTGTGCGGGGAAGGGGGTCATAACAAAAGAGGAAGTTTTGAGGGGTTGTGTTGTTCGAAAATTCTCTCCAAAGGCAGGATGCGCTTTGATTTCACTGACCATTGCGTGGGAAACTCAAATTTCTCAGCGTAAACAAGGTGATGTGTGAGCTGCATGCAGCAGATCAATAAAAACTGTCACTCAAAAAACTGATTCAGAAGTTCAGTTATTTAACAGCAAGAAGAACCACCAAAACCCCGCTAAAATGATGAACAGATTTCCCTTAGGGTTAGGTTCCCTTAGTACAGAGCCTTCAACAAAAAACGAATCCCTTTTTCAAATGCACACCTATCGATTGATTGTGTGGGTAGCAGCTCTCAGTTATCGACCTGCAGTCGTTAGGTGACTTTCCAGTGAAGAAAAACCGGCTTAGTTCGGCCTGGGAGAGGGGTAATTGGTAGTTTTCGTCGATCACTTCCAGTGTCTCTTGTGGAGACCTATGAACTCTTCCAAAGCTATGCAACAGCACTAACTTCGTTTACACTTAACAAGAGTCTACAAATCTCATCAAGGTGAAACGTGTAATTCAACAGGAACTAGCAAAAGGTATTAGTAAAAGCGCGAACCCCCCTCCCCCCCCCCAACCCGACAGCGCAGCGTAGGGAAAAACAGAGAGCGTCTTGAATACGGATCTCATGGGTTGCCTTATTGCCTTATGACGGCTGGAGCGTCTTCGTCACACAGTGAATCCACGAAAGTGAGACAGTATCTAAGATTTCGGACCAGACCACCTGGGAGCGAGACCTTTCTTCAAGCAAAGACCAAGGAAGTTCCCCTTCAACGTTTCTGTAAGTGTGGCCATCTCGACAATTTTTGACGCGAATCACCCTAGTACATTGAGAACCTTCCTTCAGGGCCTCTCGAGAAATCTTAGGTATTTCGAATTCATGGCATTGTAAATGAAGTTCATGATGAAGCTTCAGGACAGCACATTGCTGAGGTAAAACAGTACTTTAAAATTCCTTACCCTAACAGCTCTATAGGCATCAGAGATCCTGTCAGCAAACATCCTTTTAGAATGAGGCATAATTGGACTACGGCAGAAACTAAGCAGACAGGAGCGCTCCACTGTAGCCAGCATTCTGAAACATTAAAGTACATCAATGCACAAGTCATGCGCAGATGAGCTGCAATTCTAAAACGTTCCTCTTTCGGAAACGAAACTAGTACACAACATGTTTGCTGATAAATCCCTAATCGGTAGTTGTCTGGTAAGGAAAGGGGCACTTTGCGCACTATTGGGAACATATCCCGGTTAATTCTGTGAAGCTCTGTGAACTGTTGTAAAAATCTTGTAGTTTAATTCCGGATGACGACAACAGGCCAATTTCATACTCTGCGATTGAGAGAGTTCGGCGATTTGATACCTGGCAATTTTAGGGACTGCACGACACGGAATTTATGGGTATCGATCTGGGGACACCGGAGGTTGAGCAATAAGACGATGGTAAACTCGACGTTCCCAGTATCTGCACGCCAAGGAAATGGATGGGTACGATCGGGCAAGTCAGCCAGCGAACTGAAACGAGGGACACCGGGGTCCCGTCCACTCCTCTGGCGCGGTTAATCCGATCAAAAACGCAGTCTTCCATACTCCGATATCTTTCAATCTTCGCGGATTCCTACGTTGCGCTCGCTCGCGCAATCTCTCATAATCGCAGAATATCCTCACTCACAAAGTCATGAATGTGGCTACACGCGTCGGTTAAACCAAAGTTGAATCCGGCTTGCGACGTCGACGTAAACCACGCTCACCTAGAAACGAAACGAGACGGTCATCACCTACTGATATAATTCTTTGGCTGATTGTTGGATAAGGGAACTCGCATGGAGACAACTGGACTTGTTTCAGTAGGGCGTACGCTACAAATAGGCAAAATGTTCGAGGAAAGTGGGGGGCGGGACGGAGAATGGTGTCGTGTAATGAACCCTGGTTCCTCTTGCATTGCTTCACAATCGCTTCCTAGGCTGAGTTCATACTTTGCGTCAGTGTTTCGAGCGTTGTAGCAGTCGTTTATGAGCAACTATCTGTGAAAAGTTCAAAACTACCCACGAAGCGCTCAAAATGCTTGCGTACTCTCAAAACACTGACGCAAAGTAGAAAAAAAGCCTTAGAATCTTAAAGCCCCTGAATGGCCGTTCTGTCATTATACGTGTTAGTCGTACGTTTCTTTAGCGGTAGATTGTTTCAAAAACTGCCCTTACGCCGGCATGGTTTACAGAGTGCCCTCTCCCTCAATACGGACTTGCGCTTGCTAATCTTTTCACAAGCTTACAGTGATTAAGCCTAAAAGAGCTGAACAAAACAAACAAATACAGCACCGCAACTCTAAAGTAGTCCATAGAAGCATTCTTACGAATGCAACTTATATGAAAAAACCTCCGAAAAACGAAGAGATCACGAAATCGGGCGACTCGTTGTAATGTCGTCACGGACCCCAAAGATACCCCATAGTGCACGTACACCTCGATCACAAAAAGTTGACCAATTAAAAGGCATGAAAAGTTAGATAATGATGCCAAAAAGCAGCGCTGAGCCTTAACCTTGCACCGGAAACACAAAGTTTTTCGAGTGGTGCTAATGTATTTAGGAGGGGATGAGGGAAGCGGCGACGAAACTAGCATCAAGGAGGTGAAGCAAGCAAGCACCCCCTACACCATACATCCGCCTAGCGGAACCCCCTAGGCGGAGTCATGAGTTCAAGTTAAAATCCTACGGTAGTAACCAAGCGTGCAATGAAATGTGCGCGTGAGAGTGCACATAACACAGCGAACTTTACGATGAATGTGCTTGCGTTGCATTGGGCTTGCCTTATACACGAGGTTTTGGCGTGACTACCTTTGCATTTATCTGTTACGGACAGATCTCTCACTCGTCTGAGCCACACACTCCAGCCACACCCGGTGATTTCTCAAAAGTTTCCTTTTCACCGGGTAAATGCTTAAGTTTTGCATGATGTAGATTTAGATGAATAGTGGGAGCAAAACAATGCTAAACTGCGCTAGCCATCTACCTTACATATAGTGAAGGACAAGTAAAAAAATTGTAAGGTAGGAGTAACGCAGGTCGGGTTTTGCGGAAAACCAATCCCTCCTTCCAAATGGGGACAACAGAAACAGCAACAGTTTTTCGGAGAGACCGACATTCTCCACAACCCGAAAACAGAACAGGTAGGCGCAAATGAAATACTAAACTAACGGATACCAATAGTTGATAGCTGTCACTGCTCGATTGAAACGGTTTGCAATCGAAGGGGTAAATCCACCCGCTAATACAGTGTTCAGAGTTTGCGACGGCAGCGCTTCGGTCGCGCGTTCGACGTGATCGATGCGCATGCTTTCGACTGCATTAATCGCGTCGAACGCGCGACCGAAGCGCTGCCGTCGCGAAGTCTGAACGCTGCCTAAGGCTTTTTTGCGACTGATTATGGGGACATATTCCGGAGAGATTCCCCCCCCCCCCCCCACAAATCCTATCCGCAGCCTCATCGTGGCGTGGGGGTGAACGGTTTGGACTGTTCCAAACCGTACCAATGCGGAGGGTGCCACGTCAGAGCCTGGCGAGCTACGCGTGGTTAAATTTCTTCTCGCCGAAAACAGTAACAATTATGGGCCTCATTCCCCTGAACCTGAGGGAACCACCGACAGGGCGACGTCGGCTGGGACCGCTCGGGCGAGGCTGCTAAGAATCACAGGGCCAACGGAGATTTAAGTCGCCCAGGACTAGGATGACGATCTGTACTTTCAACGCACGGACGCTTGCATCGGAAGCTCACATCGAAGATCTGATGTTGCAAGCCAGGAAGATCAAGTACGACGTCATCGGACTGACCGAGACGAGGAGGCATCGCCCGCTACACGCCGTATACGAGACTGGAGAAGAACTGTTCCTCGGAACATGCGACAGCAGAGGCGTTGGCGGTGTGGGCGTCCTCGTCGCACTTGGCCATGAACATCGATTCGTACGAAAGTCTGACGACCCGAATCGGACGTTTGCGATTGAGAAGATGTGGTTCAACTCCAGCTTTGACAATCTTCGTCGCCTACGCACCAACATCAAGCTACGACGAGGATGAGCTCGAAGCGTTCTATATGGAATTGGAGAAGTTCTACAAGGAAGATCATACCTTCTTCAAGGTCATCGTCGGTGATTTCAACGCTAAGATCGGACCAAGAAGAACGGCTGAAGAACTTCACATCGGAACTCACGGAATGGAGTGGAATGAGCAGGGTGAAAGGCTGTCTGAGTTTATCATGTCGACCCATACCATCCATGGTAACTCGCAGTTCCAGAAGCCCTACTCTCTACGCTGGACATGGTCTCCTGGTGGACAATTCCATAATGAGATCGACCACATCATCTGCAATCGAAGGTTTTGCCTGACCGATGTCGCTGTTGTCCCTAAGTTCTACACGGGATCCGACCATCGCCTCCTTCGCGCAAGATTCCGCTTTTCGATGCGAGGAGAAAGAGCCGCAAAGTTCAAGAAGCGAAGCCCCAAGACCGTCATCAACTGGGATCACTTCACTTCTCTCGCTGGGCTCTGGGAGGATTCCATAATCGACAACATCGACGAGGAATACGAACGGCTTGTCGCACACCTTCACGACTGCGCCAAGAAGTCAGAGAGTTCCAAGATTACCAAGAAGCGTCTATCTCTGGAAACTCTCGAGCTGATTCGCCAACGTGGAGCCGCACGAGCCGCAGGCAATTACCAGCTGACGTCTGAGCTTGCGAAGCTATAATGCCCCAAGAAGCGATAAAAGGAAGGTCTCAGGAGAGAAGAGCAGCTGTACTGGTGGAAGCCGCAGAGGCGGGGAAGAGCATCCGCAAAACCCGCCGCGACTTCGCCAACTGCAAGACCAAGATGACCGCCCTCCGACGTCCGGACGGAACAATCACCGCATCCAGAAGGGCAATGGAGAAGGTCATCCACGATCTTCTACTCTGACGACGATTTCCCCCCCCTTCCGTCATCGTGTCCGTCTGCACATTCTGAGACGACGAATCCCTCATTAAGTCCGGCCATCCCCTACCTTGAACGCGGGTCCAAGCAGGTAGGGGAAATCATACTTCCTCAATCATCCTCATCGAGTACACGTGGGTTCCGTTACATAAAGAGCTTAATACAACTTATTGTTCTTGTTCTTGCCTTGTATTAAATAACCACTGAACCACCCCCAACATTTTTGGTGCATCGGCCTAAAAAAAAAGTAGCCGAATAGTACACATTATCCATATTTAGGAACGTATCTTTCGCATAACTTATCAAATAGAGCCGAACGTGTTTCTATTAAATACCCCCCCTAAACTAATTCAAATAAGTAAATATAATAGAATCGAACGTGGTTCTTTAGTTGAAGCATTTCAAATTCGTACAGTCAATTTCTAAAATTTTAATTCATAAAAATGGCGCGGCGCTCCATTTCCACAGAAAACCTATCATCGCAAGCGCCAATACCCTTAAAAATTTGGTAGCGCGCTATAGGGAATACACCACTAAGGTGGACTTTCTAAATATTGATGAGGAGACCTACGAAAAATGTAGGTCCACCATCGCCCTTTTGCAAAGCAGCATAAGGCAGATAAAAGAGGGAAGCGAGAATTTACAAAAGCGTTATGAAGTAATAATTGAGGAATATAGAGCCTGCAAACACAAGTCCGAAAGGAAAGATCTTATGCTCGAAATCGAGCAAATAGAAGAAGGGCTCCAGTAGAACCAGGCGACGAAAAGTGGCAAAAATATATAAGTGGCAACGTGGCATTTCACGGCACCGTACATGAAACGGGTTCTCAGGTGAGCTCAACACGGCAAGAGCGACGATCGAGTTGTCTTAACCCTTTGATCAATCTTTTGATCTCCACAGTTACAGTTCTATATTTGTGAATTAATTTATCTCTATTTTCACCATCGACGTCGCCTTCCGCTCGTACAGCCATCCAGTCTACACCACCAACGTGCAGATGGCGAACGACGATTCCTTCCCTCATCGTCGTCTCACAGTCTGAGACGACGATCCCTCATTAAGTCCGCCCCCTACCTGACGCGGGGTCAAGCCAGGTAGGGGAATCATACTTCC